AATTTCCATGTATTTAGGTTTCTTTTTTTTCTGGTTTCTTTCGTCATTTATTTCCAGTTTCATTGCACTGTGGTCAGATAGTATGCATGGGAGAATTTCTGTTTTCTTGCATATACTTAAGCATGACCTATGGACCAGTATGTGGTCTATTTTAGAAAATGACCCATGTGCAGCTGAGAAAAATGTGTATTCAGCTGTGTTTGGTTGGAACGCTCTGTATATGTCCACCAAGTCCATTTGTTTCAAGCTCTGGTTCAGTGCTGTTATTTCTTTGTAATTTTTGTCTGGTTGACCTCTTTTTGGGATAAGGGGGTGTTAAGGTCTCCTGTTAAGATTGTAGTATTGGATATTAGATTTTTCATATCCTTTAAGATTTGCTTTATATAGTTGGGTGCTCCCTTGTTTGGTGGATACGTATTTATGAGTGTTTCCTCTTCCTCTTGAATTTTTCCCCTAACCAGTATATAATGGCCTTCTTTATTTCACTTGATCATTGTTGGTTTGAAGTTGAAACTGTCTGAGAATAGGATTGCTACCCCTGCCTTTTTCTGAGGTGCTGGGGCATGTAGTTTTGTGTTCCATCCTTTGACTTTCACACTATGAATGTCTTTATGAGTTAAGTGTCTTTCTTGTATACAGCATATTGTTGGATTTTGTTTCCTAATCCATTGTGCCAGTCTATTTCTCTTGGTGAATTGAGTCCATTTACATTTATGGTTAGAAATGAGATGTATTGACTTACGATTAACATGTTATTTACCTGTTGTTGTTTCCTCCTTTTTCTCCTGTATTTACTTGCTTGCCCTATTTATTTGGTTGCTTCTGATCTCATTCGTTGAGTTCTGATCATATTGGTCCTTTTCTAGAACATCTTTCAGTAGCCTGTGTAGGGTTGGCTTTGTCATCATGAAATTCTTTAGCTGTACTTTGCCATGAAAGTATTTCACTTCTCCATCAAACGAGGGAGTTTTGCAGGGTATAGTAGTCTGGGCTGGAACGGGACAGAAATTGCTGGGGTGAGGGAGGTGCTGCGGAGTGGTGGGTGGCGTCCCAAGGGGGTGGAAGAAGGTCTTACCCACGCTGCGCCTGGGCTGGGACCAGTAGTAGTTCCCGCTGCGAAGGGTAGCCGGAAACTCTCCCACACACTCACAGGGCCTAGGCTAGCACTGGGTCTGATGGCTAACAGTGTTAAAGTCATGTTGCATTTGCACCTTGGGGAGGTAGCATGTCACAGAGCATGGTAGAGCAAGATGTTCACTTCAAGATGGCCAGAAGTATAGGTGGAAACAGAGACTTCTCCATGGTCCCATGGAGGACACTCCCCCAGTCACCCAAAGCTTCCCACAGAGCCCACTGTTAAAGGAGTCCACCACCTTCCAACAGCACCAAACTGGAGGTCAAGCCTTTCACACATATGCTCGGAGGAGGAAGTTCAGATTCCAACCATAGTAGATCTTCCTGTTCCCCAAAGGAAGAAGTCACACAGCACAGCATTTAAAAATTTCATTTTCCTCAATGCAAGCAGCTCCAAAGACTCCATAAAATGTTATTTTCTGTCTGAATTTTTTTTTTTGTTTGTTTTTTGGTGCCTGAAAAATTTGAGCTTCCAGAGTTTTGTCTGCTGTGGGCTCCCCATGACATAGGACAGTGATGGCAAACCTTGCAGAGCTTTCAGTGATTCACACAGCTCACTGGGGCATTTATGCCATAGGTCTGCCACCAATAGCATAGGGTAGCATGGTATGGCCCAACAGTTAAGACAGACTTGAGCCAGAATGACTTTAGACAAAATGTTAGGTCTTCCGCTTTATGTTTTAGTGCCCTTAAATGAATTATTTGGCTTCTTTGTGCTTGGCTTTTAACATCTTTTGAAAAGAAATATCTATTTAATTGGGTGATGAGTTTTCATATGGGTTCATGCATATGCATTTCTTTGATTCACCTGGTACATAAAAATTTTTTTTGTGTATTTAGTACAAGGTCTACAGGGTCTCATTACTAGATCAGGCTTATAGTGATTTTCCTGTTTTCAGCCTCCAAAGTGCTGGGATTACAGGCGAGCGCCACCACACCCAGTCTCAGTTGCATCTCAGTGTGCCCCAGGGGCAGGGCTGGCGCAGCACTTGTGGATGGAACCCTAGTCCCTGTGTCTGCCTAAGCAGGTGCTTGACATTGCTGAAATGATGAAGATGAGGATGGGGGTGATAGTGATAGTGATGAAGATGTTGAGGTTGACCAAGATTTCCCATTTAGCACCTGAAGCAGACCTTACATGAGTGAGAAATTAGCATAAGAAGAATGTCATCATCTGACAGGAGCATTAGCAGAGGAACAGAAGTTTTCTGAGCTAGTTCACAATCTGTTATTCAAAAATGACAAGTGAGCAACTTCTTAGAGTCCTCCTGACTGTCAACTATCAGCGTCAACCTGACTATCATTTATCAGAGAACATAATAAAAAGTAGTTACCCTTCTAGTATGTTTTCAGACACAGATTCTTTAGATTTGCAAAATGGATCACCCCATTTTGTTAGTCTTGATAGCAATTGGAGACCTATTATCTCCCAATTCCCAGGGCATTATTTCTTCAAACTATCTATTGCCTCTATTTTTTTAATCAACATGTAAATGAGACTAATAGAAGCCACATTTGAATGTTTCTCTGCAAATCAAAAGAGAACTCCCTGAAAAATAAAATCATAAATGTGCAGGTAACTCTATTAAGCTGACATGAATCTGTATTCAGCATTTCAACACCAATTACAGATTATTTTACTAGTTAAATGGCACATGTGACGAGGATAGTTCAACCAAAATAATGATAGTTTTTAAACTATTTCCTGAATTCTTTTTTAAAAATTCAATTTGTTTAAATGCCAGTTACTACCATTGTGCTAAGTTGATAGAGGATGCTTTTATCTCTCTGCCTAACTTGGGAAATCAAAAGAACCGCAGGCCTGTGTAGAATGACATAGGCACACTTTTGTAAGATCCTCTCCTCTCAGGGTGCGGAGGTGTAAGTGAAGCTAAGAGGAGGGAAGGAGTCCAACCATGTTTGCCATGATGCTACTGCTAAATCAGTACTCACAGGAAGGTACTAATGGGCGACATCACAGCACTTCCTTTTTGGACAGGTGCACAGTGTTAGAGATATTTGTCCACAGGTTGAATGTGCTGCCTTAAGCTAGGGACGTGCAGTGGTCTTTTTCCTTCCCTGATCCCTGTCTCTCATCATGTATAAATGGAGAATGATGATTGAAATTTCCCTTCTACAGGCAAATAGTTCCCCTACCAAAAAGCAAAGTTACCTTCTCCATGTGCGAATGTGCACATATTTTTCAGTTAATGGTCCATACAACTTCAGTTGCTAGTGGAAGAATCTTAATTCGAAGAGTAAATGGAATAGAGACTGAAATATTTGCTCAACACAATGCTGCAAAGTTCAGATTAAAATCACGTGTCACCTGAGCACTGACCACTCTTCCTATCTTCTAGTACTGTTCAGCTGTACTTAGTTTCATTCTCCATCTAGTCTTCCTGGCAGCAAGATCCACACAGATCATCTTAAACTTAAGACTTGAAGAGTCCCAAGAAAGAACACAATTCTCTATCCCAGAATCAGCACCAGTCCTAGAAAATTGTCTGCATAGATGGGTCGCCCTCTCATTGAGAAGTGAGGGAAAATGCTAGCACACAAAAGCAGCATAGTCTGCCACATCAAGAAAACCCTAAATTTAAGAGTATTATGTCATTGTGACTTAGAATTTCCACCCACTGCTGACATGAAGAAGCAGGAATAGCACTAAATGGAAGGAGACCAAGAAATCATCTTCAGGATTTCAAAATAAAAGATGTTAGAATAGTCTTGGATGGCTCAGTCAGTTCAGGTATTTTATATTCCTGACCAGGTTCAATTAATAGGCTGTCAGTGTAGTATTGTGGAACAGTAGCTGGCTCGTATTGTTGCTCAGATGTAACCCTCCATCTCCTCTGTGTCAGCATACTTGGTCCCTGGCTCCACCAGACTTTCACACTATTCCTGGTATTTCCACAATGGGATAAATCCATGAAAATGGTTCACATTTTGTTCTTGACTTACTGGGCCTCATGAGTCAAGCCAATAGCTGGAAAAGAGTATTGTGTCCAGAATTTAGTATGTGATGCTTTCCTGATAGAATGTAGTGTGTTCTAGAGAAGAATCCTCCTCCACCAAATACTTTGAAATATTTGCCTGGCTACACAACCAGTCTTATTCAGGGTTCTGGCATCAGTCAGGCTTGTGGAAGACACTGTTTTTCAATTAGTCTATAGTGACCTGAGAAAGCTTCAGACTCCTCTTGGTACCTGAGAATCCTCAGATATCATAATGTGATGTATAGTTAGAGGAGACAAGGAAGACTTACAAAAGGGGTCTGCTCTATCATCTCTTGCAGGGCTGGTACAGGGTAATCTAATCTAAGGCACTAATCCAATGTAGGTAGGGAGGAAAGTAAGGAAACATTTCACTACCTGCAAAGTAAGAAGAAGCCAGGTGTGAGTCATTTTTCCTGAGTGTCAGAGTTCTCTTTATTTTTTGTACCAGGAATCAAACTCAAGACCTTGTGCTTGCCAGGCAGGTACTGTGCCACTGAGCTATATCCCTGGCCCCAGAGTTGTCTTGGTAGTATCACAAGTTGGCCCACACCTGGTTCCTTCTACATGTCAGCGACAGTTTTAAGTGCTTTACGCTGATCTCTCATGTGATCTTTACAACCTTGAGATAATAAGGAACTGGCCCAAGGTCATACCACCAGCTGGTAATGGAAGCCAGAATTTCAATTCACATACTTTATTCTTGTTACCTGTGTCCTTCATCAAAAAATAAATTATATTTAATACTGATAGTAAGAAGTCCGGTAACAAAGCTAACAAAAAGGTAATATATCACACAACATGGGTTCTTACACAAAACAAGTGGTGGGTCCTATTTATGTTTTATAATTAGTGCTTTTTAATCCACAGACATGGGACCAGATGTGCAGGAGAAATTGCCATGCAGGCAAATAATCACAAGTGTGGGGTTGGAGTGGCATACAATTCCAAAGTTGGAGGTAAGGCAAAAGGTGGTGCCTTTAGGCACTGTAATTCGAGGCTTATACCACCCATGTAAGTGGGGGAGGGACTTTCTGACAACCTGAGGGGGAAATTAGTTCCATGCAGAATTTTCTGCAAGGTGTAAGTGTGGTTTGTGAGCCAATCAATAGATCTGGGCTAGGAGAAAAATGGACAGCCGAGCAGCATTTGAGCAAAATCTAATTTTCTCTATGTTCTGATGTAGGAGGGGTTGTTAGTGAATGCTTGATAAGGGAACAGAAGGAGGATGTTAATTTAGGTTGACTTTCCCTGCTTTGCCATTCTGTAGTTCTTCATTTGTTAGCAAAGAACAGCTTTTTAAAAGTTTCCACAAGGTAATCAAGGACATTTAATTAAAAAAAATATGTATTTACAAGATGTAGAGCAAACCAATAAGGACTACTGAGATGTGCCATATTTTACCACCCTCCTACCAAAGGAGCAAGGCAAAGGGGGGGTGGGTAGAAAGGAGAGAGCGTGAAGGCTGTGGCCACAGAGAGAGCCACTGGATGGGTGCTGTGGCCCTGCACTCCACGGAGCTGCTTCCAGGCAGGGGACCCGGGGGACAAGTCCCCATTCTCTGCTCACCCTCCCTCCTGATGGCATCTCCAGGTGGCTGAAGGCAGAGGTAAGGGAGTGCATTGACACAGTCATGTACCAACAAGAGAGGGGAGAGGGTGGCTCTCCAGGGGCCAATAGAAAGGTGGGAATTGTTTCCCCTCCTTATGTATTGTCTACCTTAGATTTTCACAATGGTACAAGAAACTTTGAGTTTAGCTTGGTTTTGCGAAACTATTGCCACATAAAAGATTATCTATGGAACATATCAATTATAGCAAACCTCTTCATGGTTTACATGACTATACTTAGAATTTGAAACCAAATAAATACGCAACCTGGCAACCCAAGTATAGGAAACCCTTAGATTTTCAGTACTTCTGTGTATGTGTGTGTAACGGTGGATTGAACTCCATACCTTTGCACTAAGCTACATCCCTGCCCTTCTGTGTTCTTTACTCTGAGACAAGGCCTTGCTAAGTCACCCAGGAGCAAACTTAAGCTCCTCTTGCCTCCCAGAGTGCTGGGACTGCAGGCCTTCAGCCTCATATCTAGTGTATGTATCACTCTGCATCCCTTTGCTACCATCGTGTTCAAACTGCTGTGGGAATTTAAGGAAATAAAGGCAGACATGAAAATTATGTAAACAACTAGGAAAAGATTTCACTTGTTAAGTCTTAATGAATTCAGCAGCTGAGTTTATGACAGATTTTCAGTTTTTGGAAGAAAAATCCTCAGTAAGTTTCTTAAGGTAACAAAAGCTAGTTCATAGTGTAGACCTGGTACACAAGACCTCTGATCCTAAGCCTTTTTTTTCATTGTTCTACCTCATGCTGTAGCCCTGATTTGAATAATAATTCCCATGCCCAGGTACCCACTGTATATCACTCACCCTAAATAGAGCACAGGCAGTGTATCCTGAAGTTAACCAGATGTAGTCAAGAGCCAGGTTTTTAGGGTTCCAATCCAGGACTCCACTTTCATGCTGTGTGGATTTGGACAAGTCACTGTGTCTCTCTAGCCTCAGTCTCTGCCCCTGTGACAGTAGAGCACAGCAGCGCCCACCTTGGATGACAGATGTGTTCATACATGTGAGGCCTGTGGAGTGTGACTGCACATAAAATGTCCTCAGTGACACAGCAGCTGTTAAAGCATCCAGTTGAGGAAACTGAGGCACAGGGAGGTTTTTATCTCTTGTTTAAGACCACAGCAATTAAAAGCTAGAGCTGGAATTTCTTTTTCCCTTCTAAACACATTTCTGAACTACTCTTTCTTTTTTTTTTTTTTAACAGTCTGTCCTTCACAGAACATGCCAACTACCCATTTTCTCTTATCTTTGCTCCACTATGAATAATACTGTGACTATCTAAGGCATGCACTATCGCATTATTATCTTGAAGCTAGGAATGACCAGGTAGCTGCCCTTACTGTCCAAATTGCTTTTCCCCTCCTGCCTCTCCAATGCATAAGTCTGATGCAGGGTGGCAGCCGACTGGAAAGCGCAAAGAGTTACCACATCTGCCTTCTCCTGATGAAAAATGATTCCCCCTCAAGCAGTGAAGTCCAGGCAATGATTTCATCCTGAAATGCTTTAGAAGAAAGGGAAGATGTTCCTTGAAAATGTTTCCTAGCAAACACATAAAAGAATGGCCCCTGGGTTAGTTTTAATCGGTGCTTAGAAACAAGGGTTCTTTTCCTATTTGTTAGTTTCCTGTTGTGGATAGATCTTTTAAGCAGCAGAGTTTGCCCCGTGGGGTCTTTTCATGACCCAGATCAGGCTATAGCTAATCATGGTGCATCGTCATGAACAGGGACATTGAGGGAAGGCTGCTGGATAGGTAATTCTGAAAGCTCTTCTGTCATTCTGTTGGGTCAAGGGAGAGGAAACGTATGGCCACTTCCTCTTGTCCAAGGGTACTGCTCCCTTTCATCCTCAGGAATATTACTGGGATCTCAGCCTTGAGGACAAAACTTTCACAGCTGCCCTAGTACATAGCATTATCTCCAACGGGCAGACAATGAAGTTTACAGTGGGCACTCAGTGTGCTGTTGGTAGCCGGTCACAGACACTGGGCCATCCAGCATTAATTTCTTTTTTAAAACTATGAGTAGTGATAGTGTTCACATTTCTATATGTACACACTGACCTTGGCCTTCCTGTTTGCTTCTGTTTTGTTTTGCTGCCCAGGCATCAGGATGTTAGATGGCATAGTGACCGATGCTATTGAGGCCAGTTCCATTGGATTCAACCCTGGACATGTGGACATTTACAGTGCAAGCTGGGGCCCTAATGATGATGGGAAGACCGTGGAGGGGCCTGGCAGACTAGCCCAGAAGGCTTTTGAATATGGTGTCAAACAGGTGAGATGCTTGACACACAGTGGCATGAGCTGAAATCCAACCCTTAGGGTAAGAGATAAAGGGAAGGACGCTTCTGTTACACGGAAAGAAGTGGTGGGGAGTTTCTTGGAAGAGCCATTCAGAGCTTTAAATGCACTCAGGGAGCCACATCATTCTTCAGAGCGTGGACACTCCAGGTTCAGAGAGTTTTTCTGCTTGGGTCTAACGCTGGAGAGAGACTCACTGCTTTCAAGATATATAGCTTAAAATAGTTCTGCGCATTTCGTCCCCATTTCTCATTTTCCACCTGCTTTGGGGTTTTTATATAGGTAAACTACTGCCCAGACTCCTTCTAGTTGCTCTGGAAAAAAATCTAGTATTCCTTTCCTCTTTATTTTTATTAGTACAAGTTTGTAATATATAATGATTATGCTTATTACGGCCAGCAGGCTCATGGAGACAATGTGTCTTCTCAATTTTTTTATTTTTAATTTTTGTTTGCTATAGAGTCTCACTATGCAGCTCTGACTCATAGTGATCCTCCCCTCTCAGCCTCCACAGCACTGGAATTACAGGCATGTGCCACCATGCTCGGTTTCAGGGCAGGTGCGGCATGCTATACAGGGGATCAAACCCGGCTCTTTGCGCTTGCAGGGCAGGCACTTAGACCTCTGAGCTGTCTCCCCAGTCCACAATACCTCTTAATTCTTTTCACATCTCTTTCTCCTCCATTTACTTCCTGTCCCTCCAGCTCTTGGGCCTCCTTCCATTTGTGAAAGATCTACCTCCCTGTGTCCTGTGATCAGTTTTTCTCTGTAATTTACACTTTGGGTTTCTCATGTAAGAGGAACCCGCCTGGGCTGGGGAAGGCACCAGGGGGACCCTTGGTTTGCACACCACTGGGAATGCGGGGGCCTCGGCTGCTGCTCGGGCACCAAGATTCATTGCATTTTTGCACAGATGCTAAGGCGTTGCACTCCGCAGGATGAGATGAAAGTAGAAACTTTGCAGAGCACAAATCGAATAATGACAGAAAGGATGGCCTTGACAAGTTCCATTCAATAGAAGAGTCCCTTTTAATGCAGCTGCAAGGCAGCTTTGAATAATGCCTGATTTTGTCATTCTATCAGCCAGCCCGAAGATGTAAGCAGAAAGAGGAAGTTCAGGGATTTGAGGGTAGTGACACAAACCAAGAGAAGAGTGAAAAAAAAAAAAATATGAGTGCTAAAGGCGAGATTATGAATCTGCATAATAAAGAAGAGAAAAATGCTTTGTAGCCCCACCCCAGAGAGAGCTCAGAGGATAGGAGGCTGCCGGCAGGGCCATAGTCTAGTGGTTTGAAATATGTAGCCCTCCAAGATTCCCAGTGTTGATGCTGGAGAGCAGGGGGCTGAAGACAGAGCCCAAATAACTGTCCCTGAGAATGTCATGCATGTGCTTGTTGGGGATTTGTTGAGGTTTAACAAGACTCTAATAGACAATAATCAATGCTATACATTTGTCTTTTTCTTTAGGGAAGACAAGGAAAGGGCTCTATCTTTGTCTGGGCCTCTGGGAATGGGGGACGCCAGGGAGATAACTGTGACTGCGATGGCTACACGGACAGCATCTACACCATCTCCATCAGCAGTGCCTCCCAGCAAGGCCTGTCGCCCTGGTACGCCGAGAAGTGCTCCTCCACACTGGCCGCCTCTTACAGCAGCGGGGATTATACCGACCAGCGAATCGTATGTTGCTTTTGTCTAACTCTCTCTGCCTCGCTAGGAGAATGTTTGTTTGTACTCAGAATGACCCTTGTAGCTGACCAGCAAATCGTATGTTGCTTTTGTCTAACTCTCTCTGCCTCGCTAGGAGAATGTTGTTTGCACTTAGAACGACCCTTTTAGCTGACCTTTTGTGGAATTGATTTGCTTCAGTGTGATGTCTCTGTCAGGGAGACTTGGGTTTTTTCAATTGAAAGGCTGTCATAGATTGGGAAGCTTTCTCTAAAGGCACAAGAATGCTTCCGCTATGATGAGCTTCCTCTCTGTCATTTCTAAACTCAACTCTGAGAAGCCACCAAACCTGTCATTACACACAGTTGAGACTCCAAATGTCTTTCCTGCTTGTCTGATTCCTCCTGGGAAACTATCTAAAAGGAGATTTCAGGGCTGTAGGCTTTATCACCCTTGTACTTGTTGATACTTTAATAGCAGGGCTATAGTCTGACTTGCCCTTTAGCAAATGATAAAAATACAGAGTCTACACCAGTAGTGTCTCCTAAGAACAGACAACCTGCAGGAAAATAGCAGCCTCACTTTCCCCTGAGGTGAACTCCTTAGTGTCAGGATGAGCAGCTCAGAAAGACTGTAAACTCAAAGAACTCCAACCTACACTCACCTGTGTCTGCACTCTCTGAGTCAGACTGCCATGGACAAGCATTGGATTCCCTTCAAGGACATGAGGATGAAGGGCCATGCAGAGGCCTTGAGAACAAAGAGAGACACTTTTAACTTACAAGTGTAAAGCTTCAAGTTTAACGTTGGACAAAGAAAGTATCAACCAACTAAAGTATGGAGACCTTAATCTCAATGAACTTGTAGGGTGTGACCGAATTAGACTGTGAATGAACTCTGTAACAATTACCTTGGAATATGTGCACAGTTCCCATTAAAGGCATCTCAACAAAATTGTCAGCATTAATATGTTTCAGGGAGGATCACTATTTGGTATTTCACCTCATTTGGCAGTGTAGTCGAGGCATTAAGTTGTGTGGTCTTCACTTAAAAAACGTTGACATCTTTCCTAGGCCATATCTTCCGTTACTTGAATAACAGACAGAGACAATCTACCCAAGGTTTGCTTATGGCAGGCATCCTCTACAGCCCTTCTAGGGGCCCATCAGACATCTGCCCCACTCTTGACCAAAGCCCTTGACTAATGCCATTACCCTGGGTGGCCACAGCTGCCTTTTGGAAATGGCAGTTTAGAGTCACCATTTCATAGACAGCCCCTCTTCTGGGCTGCTCTGCATAGAAGCAACTGAAAATTTTTCATACATCTTTGCAAGGACCTCCTTAAGAAAACCAGCCCTGGAAAAAACAGACAGCTGCTGGGTTCTATTTGAGAGTTTCAGTAGCACAGTTTTCTTCTTATACAAACCTCTGCCTCAGCACTGTCATCTCCGGGGGCTTATTTGCGTCAACAGGTAAAAATTGCAACCTCGCTTCCACAGCACTCTGAAGAGCAGAGCCACCATCGCTTACAAAATCCAGTGACTCCAAGTGGGAAGCCAAAGGAGGTGATAATAGAACACATTATTTTTTTACACCTTCCTCCCACACATTGAAATCTCTAGCTGTAAGCTAGTGCTGGAGCCTGGGGAGGTACCTTCTTAGTAATCCTTTGGCCCAACTATTTGTTCAGCAAGCAGCACTGAGGCCCTTTGAGCAGACTAACTGGAAATCCTCTGGGCTTATCCCTTTTGTGTTAGGAACCTCCTCACTACCCTAAAGTTAGCCTGCTCTGTTCTTCCCATGTGTAAAAATATTTTCACAGGTGGATCTCTTGTAAGCCTCAGAGAAGATGAGTTGGGAGTGTACATCTCATTTTACAAATGGGAAAACCAAAGGACACGCACAGGGGAGACATCTAAAGAATAGTTATTCTAGAATTTAGACCCAAAAGTAAGTCTAACACCCATTTCCTTTGAAAAAGTTTTCATCAACGAGCAATTATAGACACTAACTCATGGACATCAAATCCAGACAACAGAATCCGAAGCATACACTAGACAAATTTTCTACATGTACTTCAGGTGACTAAGATCAGCACGGCTTTGAATCCTGATGTTGAAGAGAAAGCCAAATGTTGAAATGGAGGCCAAAGGGAATAGAGAATAAGGCAGAACTTCTAAATATGCCAGACCAAACACAATGGACCTGATGATTAATGGGCCGGCATGATTCACAGTGATTTCTTTTTTATAGACAGCAGTTCGTTTGGGAACCGCAGAAGAGAAAAATATTCATAGTGGGAGTACTTCATCCCCAGAAAAGGCATCTTGGTGCCAGAATTATAGACAAGTTGCATATAGAGGAAAGTGAACTAAAATATCAGCAGATGGCAAACATCCGGCTTGCGGTCTAGGGAGGAAGTAGGGAGCAGACTCAGCTGAGCTCCCTGGTCATAGCAGATGCGGACCTTGGTGTCCCCCCGCCCCCGCCATGCCTCATGTGTCCCCTTCTTCTCTCCCCCATGCCATGCAGACAAGCGCAGACCTGCACAATGACTGCACAGAGACCCACACAGGCACCTCGGCCTCTGCACCCCTGGCTGCTGGCATCTTCGCTCTGGCACTGGAAGCAAAGTAAGGCCCCGAAGCTTGTAATCACCTTAATGGAGGCTCCTTTCTCCTTTCTTGGTTGCACATGCTGTTTTCTGAATACATAGTGACAGGAAAAATTTTGGAAAAAAATTTATAAAAAGATGTTTTGTTCCTGCCACATAGAGATAACCATTGTTAACCTCCGAATGTAGAACTGTACACACATTTCTTAGAAAAGGGAGATCTTACTATGCATGTTATTTTGTAATTTTAAAAAATCCAGCCTGTCGTGTTAAAGGAACTTTCTTCTATTTAAGTTAATTGTCCTTGACTTTTTAAACCTCACAGTATCTCCCCTCTCCTCTTCTTGTTCTGCCCCAAGACCCTTTTCCTACCAGGCAGTGTTATCTAAACATAAATTTCCTGTATGTGGTATTATGAGTGGCAAGCTTATAAAATATCCTTCTTTTAAAATATATAAGACTAGGCCTGGAGCTCATACAGATATATCAGGGGATATGAGACTTAACAAGTTTTTGTCTTCTCATAGTATTCCACTGTAAAAATGTAAATTTTATTAAGATATCTAATCATCCCTAGGTAAACATTCTTACCTGGAAATACTGATTATCCTCTCAGATAAGATATTGGAATAAATAATCAGAACTTGAATTTCTGGGCCAAACTGTGTGCATGGCTTAATAGTTTTGGTACAAATTGCCAAGCTGCTGCCTTGAAAGTCCATACCATTTTATATTCTCAGCAGAGGTGTGTACGAGAAAGCGCCAGTTTCCAAATCCTTGCCAGAATTACTCTTATCTTTTTAGATATTTGTTGTTTTCATAGGTGAAAATAATATCTCCTTTTAATATGTTTTTATCGCATTACCTATGAAGCTCAATATTTTATATCCTTTGGCCATTTATCTTCTGGGATTACTTCTTTACTGCTTTAATTTTATTTTATGGTTTTGGCTCTGAGAAGCTATCAATACTTTATCAGTTTGACATTTGCCTTTAATTTTGTTTGTAAGTAATTTCAGTGAATGAAGTTAATATGTATTTATATTCTTTGGTATTCTGTTTCTTTAAGGCACTTTTCTTTGTTTTCATGCTCAGAAAAAAATTCTTCATAATCTGAAATTAGATTAACATTTATTTATATTTTTATTATTGTTGCTTTACCATGTATAAATTCTACATCCTCCCAGAAATTATTTTCACCCATAGTGTTAAAAAAGGTTTGACAATATTTTTTCCCTGATAATAGTTACCTTGTAATCAAATACTTAACACAGAAGAGAAAATCCAGTTATCATATACAATACATTCAAAACTTTGTCTTCATTCCTACTTTCTTGTACTATACAGTGTATCAATTGGCTTCTTTTCTATTGCTGGACACAATACCTGGCACTCAAAATGTAAAAGAGGAAAGATTTCATTTGTTCATAGCATTAGTCCATGATTGCCTGGTTCTGAGGCAGAAACACCATGGTAGAAAGACATGGCGTAATAAAACTGACTAGTTCATGGAGATTCGATACCAGAGCAGAGGACAGGAATGGATGACAAGTCATATATATATTACTAAAGCCTATACCTCTATGACCCCCCCCATGCCTTGGTTACTTTTCTCTCATTACGGTACAGATACCCAACACCCCAAATTAAGGAAAGAAAGTCTTATTTAGTTCACAGTTTGCAGAGGTTTCAGTCCATACTTGGCTGGCTCCAAGGCAGGGCGTCACATGGCAGAGGGCAGCAGTTCATGGTGGCAGAAAACAGCAAAGAGCAAAAGGCAAAAGGGAGGAGTAGCAGCAAAAGTGGTAACAGAGAGCAAGTCTGTCTCCCTTATATTGCTTTCAAGCTATCTATACTCACACCCATAATGCCAGGAGTATTTACACCCAAATCCCAGCAGCACTCACACGCATAATCCCAGCACTAGATCATGAATTAATCACAAACTCTAGAAGTCCACCACATAACTGTATGAGGCTGTGGGAGAACAACTAGACACAAGCTGTAGCACACACCCCCACCCATGCACAAGAAGAGTGCTCTTCTAATCTAGCTATTTCCTAATCCAGATTAGGATGAATGGCCACATTCCCATCTTAACTTCACACCAAAATACATATTCTTATACCATTCTTAATCTGTAAATAAAATAATACCAAGTTTATAATTCCTTATGATACAATGCAACTATCCTGTGAACACCTGGAAATGAATGAAATATTCCCTCCCCAAAAGTCTCAGCAGTTCCGACAGTTTTCAAAAGTCCAAGTTTTTTCTGAGACTCAAGGCAAACTTATATGTAAACCTTAAAACAATAAGGAAATAAATGATGTAATCCAAAAGTACAGTGGCACAGATCAAACATTCCTATTCCAAAAGAGAGGAATAGATGGAACCAGGGATTGAAACCAAAAGAGAGGAATAGAGAGATAGAAAAGAATTAGACCAAAGTAAGAGTGAAAACTAGCAAGGAAATAAACCCTGTAGTTCCACATCCAGTATCTGGGGTATATGATGGTAAAATATGTGTTCCTGAGGACCTTGGCAGTTCCATGCTTATGATCTTGACACTTTTGCCCCACAAAACCTCTCTTGTGGTGGATTCTGATTTCACTGTCTACAGCTCTCGCCAGCTGACATTTCTACATTCCTGGAATATCTGACTTCCTGGAGTTTTCACCACATATTCTGCTATTTCTACAGCTTTGCACACTGACTTCTCAAAGACTCCTTGCTCAGCTTCTCAGGTCTGCCTCTGAAATCTTAGTGGAGGCCCCCTACACCTCATAACTCTTGGATTCTATAAGCCAGCAAAGCTAGCATCACATGGGAAATGCCAAGATCTGCTGTCAGTAGAAGCAGTAGCCAAGCCCCCTTGTACCATGGCTACAGAAGCATCTGAGTTCCAGGATGGCTGAATATAATGAAATAAATCCCAGAATACCATCCCTTGGAGGTCTTTCTTGAGAAAGGGTCCTGTAGACTCCTTTCTCAAATAAAAGGTCAATAGTTTTGCATCCTTAAGCCTGGGATCTTTCAGATTCCTGAGATGTCCTCAAGGCAACTTTCTTCTTATCACTGTACAAATACTTGATTCTTTTTTAATGCTGTTAACTTGTTTAGCAGACACATCTTCTTTGGATCCAACTTTACAGGAGGTTTTTTTTGTCCAAAATTTTAGTTTGTCAAATTTTTCTTTTCTGTCTTTTGCCCCCACTTCTCTCTATCAATGCAGTTAAAAGTAGACAGAAGTACTCAAACCACAGTATACATGTTGGACTGTCTTGATCTTTCTTCTGCTCAGTTAATCATTCCATAGTCCTTAGTCTTGGTCACCTATAAAATTTTAAGTATTCTTTAAAGTCTCAGGACAGGGACAAAAGGTGAACAAATTTTATGCCAGAGAGTAACATACATGGACCCTTATCCAACTACCAGTGTAGCCCTTGATTCCAGCTGAAACCTCCAGAGCCTGGCCTTTTCTGCCCACATTTCTGTTAACATCCTTGTTTTCTGAGAATTGACCATAACCTCTCATCAAGTGCTGTTCATACCAATATAGGGCTTGTCTAGCCCACTTCTCAAGCCTTTTCAAACTCCGGCCATAATCCAGTTCCAACGGCTTCTAAACCACATGGTCAAGCACAGTCACAGAAACAACCCATCTTCTCCAGCACAAATATTGATAGCAAATCGTATAGATTCCTCTAAGTTTATCTAATAAGAAGTCTATGCTACTGGTAGGTTCATATTCTCCAGTAAGAAAACAGAATAATACCACCATATCCTATTCAGAAGACAAAGTACACAGAAAAGAAGATCTTGGTCTTTGCTATATCTAAAGAAACCAGAAGTCAGGAAGTTACCAAGCTTTTGCCTCTGACAGTCCAGTGTAGCTCTAGAAAATCTTGGACTATGGAGATGTTCTATAGTCTCTGGGTATCTCAGCAATGAGATGCCCACAGTAGTTCAGCAAGACTATCTTCCAAGGTTTTTATTCAGAGTTTACTTACTTGAAAGGGTCAGAAAGATGTTTGATTAAGAAAAAAATCAAATTTAGTTGTTCCACCATAAATTGATCTTGGCAACAAAAGAAAATCTATGTCAGAACCTGAATATATTTGTAATAATGAGGATGGGCAGAGGACAAAAGTCTATGAACCTAGGTTAAAACTGTTATCAGCAAATCCAAGCTAACTTCAATGAGAAATATTCCAGGTAGTAAATCTTGCAGGGAACACCTGGCTTCAAGTTCTAAATATATCACTAGTTGCATGACTGTATAGCAGTTAATTCATGTGTAGGTCTTCAGTCTTTCCATCTGCAAAATGAAAGAGTCAAATCAGATCATTGTATCTTGAAACATTTCTCTTCATAAGATCCTCAGATCTGAAACTGAAGCTGAAGGCATATAGAAATATCCTAGCCTGAGCTCTTGCGGTTGATGGCGAGGGGTCTGGTCTAGAAGAAGACATGGAACAAGCTAATAATATCAGGACACAGACTATTAGCCATAAGAAGCTATTGAAATAAATCTGCCCTTAAAATTTTAAATCTGAAGTCTTTGTTCTGTATTCAACAAAATGATTTAAAATATAACTAGCCAGGCTTAGATTAGTTTGTCTAGTGACCAATACAGCAGAAATATCCACCTAGATGCATAGATAGATACAATATTACTTTCACAGATGAACTGGTTATTTAAAAGTATGTTTTGGTTTCTACAACACCAAGCCTTCTTTTTCTATATAAGGGGGAAATGACCTAAGAATTATGAAGTCTTATGAATCTCATTAGTCTCTGGTGGATTCCCCATCTGTTACTATGAAATAGATGTATGGTTTTCAAGTGGTCCACGAATATCTTTGCAATTAATGCAGAATTATTTAAAGATATTGTGTATAGACCCAGTCCTAGCCCAGGCCTGGTGAGGGTGTTGGAGAGCTTCCTGCCACCCTGCGCCGGTGAGACCTACCAGTCCCAGCCCAGGCATAGACCTACCAGTCCCAGCCCAGGTAAAAGAGGTGAGACCCTCTTTTACCCCCTTGGGATGCCCCCCACCACTCCGTAGTACCCCCCCAACCCCACCCACAGAGTAGGAATTTCTGTCGTATTCCGGGAACTCCCAAATCCAGTCCTAGCCCAGGCCCAGTGAGTGTCTGGGAGAGCTGCCTCTCCCCGCTACTCCATCTTGTCCCCTCCAGACTCAGCTCAGGCCTGGCATACAGGCCTGGGGTGAAACCCTGCAGCTGTAATCCCTGCAGAGAGTGTAGGGGACAGAACCTCCAAGCTAGTCCAGGAGCAGAACATCTTGCCAGAGGGCCACAACAGGTTCACCCCCAAGGGCAGCAGCAGGAAGGAGCTGAGCACAGCAGCCAGACCCAAGCCAGGCAAAACTGGATAAATCCAAAATTTGTAGATCTGCACCTGAACTTCAGTAAGTGCTAAGGTTATAACTGCACCAAAAATATTGTGTATAGAATTACTCTGGAGAAAGGTTTGTAGGTTCTAGCAGGTTCTCACAATGTTCATAATTTAAGAGACAATAAGTCTATGTCTTCCAAAACAAATTCTTGTAAGAATTTAATTCCCTTCATTTTTACTCTGTTCATTAGAGTGGTGGGTATTTGTATCCTTCCTGCCAAAGTGTATGGATATGTCTGTTCTCAGCCGGATGGTTTACTGAACTGTTTAATTGCCTATACTTAGACTATCTGTCCATGAGATCAAGCGTTATCCCTAGATATTCAAGGTTGAGGAAACCATTTAAACATGCGTCATCCCCCAAAGAATAACTATGGAGACTGAAAAAAGAACTCTTCACTATACTTATCAAAAGTAATATTATTCAGTATTAGGAGGTTTTTGCTATAGGCCAGAACCTATGTTAACCTTTTACATGCAATATTAATTCTAATCCTTATACTTTCTTACATTGTAGAAATTATGAATTGTGTTTTATAAACAAAGAAGTTGAGGCTTAGAGATGCTGCTGAATACGACTGAAAATTCACAGATTTAAACTCAGATCTGACCCCTAACCTGTGCTATCAGCACCCACAATACATTCCCTCCCGTAACTCTGCTAGAGAGAAATGTTTGGTCAGAGCTTCTCTTCCCATCAATTAGAGAATAGTTAAGAAAACCCAGGCTGTTGTAAGTGAACGTGTATGTGTGAATTCTTCCTGTTTTCTATCAAACAATACTATGTATCTAGGGAAAATGGGAAAAGGAAATAGAAGGAGAAAGAAGAGTTTCTTGCAAAAATATGTACAAGAGAATACTTCCCTTCCTTAGAAGACTGTTTCTTGAATGCCAACAAAATAATAATCACCTGTGGCATTTATTTAACATATGGATTCCCAGATCCTATTACTAGCAGCTCAGATTCTGCTGTTTCAGGTATGTGGCCCAGCAACCTCCGTCTTTAGCAAATATACCAGGCAGTTTTAATATTCTTGCTTAGAGCAGGACCAACTGCTATTAAGAACTATTTCCTACAACCTCATCCAGCTGTCATTGTAAAGATGCCATTAGAGTATTTAATAGGCATAGCCTGGAGATAAAAATACTAAGAGAGAAATTCCTTGCATAAATGGCTATCATCATTGTTACCATCATTAATATGCAGTGACTGCGACTAAAAAGTTATTTAGGGGACTCAGTCTTCATAGGCTATTCAAAGAATCAATAATTTTTAATAGTGGAGAAAAATTCTGAATCATTGAATCCCTTTATACCTTTGGCAGTATTAGACTGTGGAACAAATCTTAGGTATTTATGAAATTCTAAACACAGAGAAATGAACTTTCAGTGCTGTATGAAACCTTTGGAAAAAAAAAAAAAAAACCTCACAATGAAAAAAATCCCCGTGGGTGATGAAAAGTTATAAAGTCCAAGTTAGAAAATCTTCAACATCTGGCCTTACCTAGATGTACTTAAAGGTTGAACCAGGAACTCATAAGAATGTTTACTATTGCATTTAATTTCCACACTACCTTACCTACATCTCTCCTAACTAGAAGCAATGCTTAATTTCAATATTTAATTCCATAATCCTTATTTTCTATAAACATATCTTTGATTAGCAACACAATGTGCTGGTTTTTAAAAATTTAATGACTGTGGGTGCTGTTACACACTAATTAACAAAGGAAGGCTGTCAGGAATGATTTACACTATTGTTAGCAACTCCTTTTCATTTATGAAATACAGGCCCATAAATAAAGCATAACTCTTGCATGAAAATAGGCATGATTTTCCCAGTTGCATGAAAATGAAGCTCCTAAAATAGTTTTCAACATCTAGGTGGAAGAGAATTTTGCTGGGGCTATAGCTCAGTGGGTGAGTGCTTGCCTAGCATGCACAAGGCCCTGAGTTCCATGCCCAGCACAACACACACACACACACACACACACACACACACACACAAAACAAAAAACAAAAAAAAAAAAAACCAGAATTTAAAAACTAAGGGCTGAAGCCTCTCTCCAAGGACTCAAATATATCCAAGAACAAAGGCTTTCATTCATAGGCCTGGGGGAGCACACAGGCAAAGAGCATGATGTAGCAGGGGACCTGAGGCCTTGATTGTAACTCCTCCAGGGCCTTCAGGGCACTAACTATATACCAGGGCTGGTGCCAGGAGGGTCTTGTCAGGGCAAGCCTTTGAAGTTGCCTATGGTGAGGTGAGAAAGATCCCACACAAGGTTTAAGCAGGAGCCTGATGGCTGGTTGTTTTAGAGGGCACACTGCCTCGTTCCTCTAGCCAAGGCATTGTGTAAGCAGTGCATTATGGGCTCAGAGGAGACAACAGCGACTTGGGGTGGATTCTCTGATATTGTTCTCACACTCACTGTCAGATTTCAGAACATGAAGAAGATATATGTGCATGTTGTTTATTAAATCATGCTTGATTGGCTTGAGGGAAACAACTCAGGTCTTAAAGGTAAGCTAATCTTGAAGGTTTATACAATTTAAAGACAAATAGCGTCAAGGCTTGAAATGATATTCCATCTATTTAACAGAAGCACACTCAAATATCAGCCAGACAGTGCTTATTCTGCTGGTGCCCTTGAGCCGAGTATTCTTCTGGATGGCTGGTGCACAACAGGCAACACGATAAATAAAGATTTGACCTCTTTTCTTGCCTGCATTCTAGCTATGGAGACAGACAATAATGCACCAAAAAATGGGCTGAAATCTTAAATAAGATGATCAAAGAAGGCCTCATCACACAAGAGATCCTACAGTCCCTTGCATCTTCAATGTATCTATACTGTTCCTAAAATGATCTTATTGAAACTTAAGATTTTACCATTTCTTTGCTCCAAAATCTTCAGTGATTTCTCATGCCCAAAGAACAAATTATACCTCCCTTTTGTGGTGTTCAAGGGCCTCCTCACTTCAGCTTTGTATTCCTTGTTGCCCCTTCCCTACCCTAGCAGAACACATTGTCATCTGGCCTCAGCGTGCACTGCCCAACGCTCCTGTTTTTGCCCCAAGTGCCTCCTACCCTCTTTGGTAGCTCCACTTCTTCCAAATTTACCCAAACTTCAAAGTTCATCTCAAATATTTCTTTCTACCAAAACCTTCCTGTATCTTTTCATTCCATGGAAATTCTTTCTCTAAACTCTCACAATACAAGTTATAACTACAACATTTCTATATATATATATATATATATATATATATATATATATATATATATATGTTTTTACTGAATTATAAGCTTCCTATGGGCAAGAACACCCTCATTAATATCACCATACTATTTAGCATAATGCCTTTAAACACTGATCTCCAGTATCTAAGCACTGATATAGAACCATTCCATGATTTCTGTCAGCAACTGGATTCAGGAACCTCCACAAATAGCATAATTCATGGAAACCCCTCATATAAGATCACATCATACTTTGATTAAGACCTATATACACCCCCTGGATGCTTTTAATCAGCTCTAGATTATTTACAATGCCTAGTAGAACGCAATCCTATGGATATTGCTATATACTGTAATATTTAAAGATAGTAAGAAAAGTCTTACATGTTCAGTACAGATGCATTTTTTTTCTGCATGGTTTTTGATCCATAGTTGGTTAAATTTGCAGGTGCAGAACGCACAGGTATGGAAGCTGACTGCATAAAGAAGTGAGGTAAAATGCACTTTAGAGAAGGTATCCAGCCTATGTCTTCAAGATCTGATTCTTCCTTAGAAAAATTCAAGACTTTATCTGCTCAAAATATTGTCTTTTCATGGATAGCATAACATGTTGGTCTAGTTAAATACAAATAATTAAAGATTGGGGACAAAGTTCTACTTCTAAAATGTTGAGGGTTGAATTGTACTAAGAACTTATACAGTATAGGTGAAAGTTTCAGAGATGCACTTTGACTTCTAAATAAAACAACACATCAGTTGTCTCTTACAACTACAAAAGACACTATACAATCCTTGACTGGAGATGCTTATTTTTGGCATTTGATTTTGCAAGGCAACTTCATTTTATTCCTGATGGATACTTTGGGTCCCTTTTCCACAGCCCAAATCTTACTTGGAGAGACATGCAGCACTTGGTTGTCTGGACCTCTGAGTATGACCCACTGGCCAATAACCCCGGATGGAAAAAGAACGGAGCAGGCTTGATGGTGAATAGTCGCTTTGGATTTGGCTTGCTAAATGCCAAAGCTCTGGTGGATTTAGCTGATCCCAGGACCTGGAGCAGTGTACCGGAGAAGAAAGAATGTGTGGTAAAAGACAATGACTTTGAGCCCCGGTAAGTGCATCCAGGAATTTTAATCAAGTGTATGCCCTGCAATGTTTGTTACTCCAGGGAATTGTCTTCTCACCTACCCTCCTAAAGTAAATGGACATGGAGTTGGTAGATGGATCTCTATGGAAAATTACTGAGAGACCAAAGATCTGTCTTGAGCTTATTTGGGTTTTCTTCTTATTGCCTACCTCCTACCCTGCATTAAGCTTATGAGGTCCCACTGTTTTATAAATCACTAAGAAAAACCTATTGTCAAAAAAACAAATGGTCAAACTAAAACCAGTCAACTATCAGTTTTAAGGCTTATTCTAAATTTAACCTATTTTTCAAGGTGTAACTTTGGGTAAATAAAGTAGCACTTTCTGACCAGTATGAAACCTGTTTCCAGAGCAGCTTTGCCTCCTGCAGCAGTGCTATGTGATTCCTTTCTCCTTGCCATGAAGAAGCCTCGATCATACTTCGTTCACATAGAACCCTCTGGCGCATCCTATCTGGTCACAGAAGCAGAATGTGCTCTGGATGCTTTGTTGTTCTATCAGGACAACCCTAATAATATGAAGAGCCAAGCAGGAGGCCTGAGAGCTTACCCACAGAAGGCTTTCTGAATGGAATCATTTTCTTTCTTAGCAAGGTGTTTTTGATATTGCAATAATCCACTGCCTTTGATGAATCTTGCCTGAATTTGGTTTGCAGCAGGTAGCATTGCACTTAAGTATTTGCATTCCCTACTATTATTTTATGTATGCAATGAGTTCATCACTGGTCTGGAGTTGGGTTTCACTTATAATGTGGAGGGACAACATGCCAAGCTGAGTATAGGGTCAAGATTAATGTGTGCTCCTATGCATTATGCACATGAAAGATAAGGCATACTTCATTCAGTGTCCGTTGTTTCATGTATTTAGGGCTCTGAAAGCTAATGGAGAGGTTATCATTGAAATTCCAACAAAAGCTTGTGAAGGACAAGAAAACTCTATCAAGTCCCTGGAGCATGTGCAGTTTGAAGCAACCATTGAGTATTCTCGTAGAGGGGACCTTCATGTCACGCTCACTTCTGCTGCTGGTAAACTAAAAAACATTTGTTCTCAATTTTTAAGTATAAATCAATGATAGTTTTTATTTATAGAAATAATTTTCCTAATCGATATTTTCAAGTCTAAAAAAGATGCTTGTTTTTCTTGATGTTAGATTTCCTCTGCCCTACTCACCTGTACTTACCCTTAGATAAGCCAAGAATGTGGCCCATCCAAATAATGCCAATGAATCAAGCTTCCTGATGTCATGTATTTTCAAGCCATGTCTATATTCCAGTTTACTGATATCATTCATTTCTCTTAGGGAATATGTTTATGAAAGTTATTTCAGTAATTTACAAAAGAAACTTAAAGATGCATCTGAAATATCCAGTGAATCAATAGAAAAATAGAAATTCTGACACAGAAAAGAAGGTTGTGGGCTGGCAAGACAGCTCAGCGGTCTAAAGCACTTGCTTAGGCAAGCTTAGGCAAGCGCAGGGACCATGGTTCAATTCCTGGCACCACATGCCATTCCAGCCCCATCCCCAGAGCAGGCTTAGCCAGTCATAAAAAAAGAAAGTTGTAACTAATAAAATTCCCATCATGCTATGAATTAGCATGAATAAGTCATATGATATGATATGTGGACATATGCCCTTCTCCTGTCATATTTCTAATTCAGATACAAGAAGAGCTGGTTAGTCATACATCACAAACCAACCAGAGAAGTTATGCTAGTGCTGTTTCATTTTTGGTAGGACTCAACAGACCAAATTTAATTTCTAGAAATGATAGAAGAGCAAAGATGAGCTATTATATAAACCCCTCCTAAGATATGAGCTCCTGAAGATTTCAAGTAGATTCCATTGATTTTAGAGTTATGTCATGTAGGTGTGTTGAGGTTGGCCTGAAATATCTGAGTTTTTAATTTAATATTTTACTTACAATGAAATTTTATTTATGATTTATACAGTGCTTGCACTTGAAAACTTATATTTACTTCTAATTCTAGCTTGTATATGATAAGTGATTGTTAAATTGATATATTTTAAATTAATTATTCACATGTTTAATCATTAAGTAAGTTAACTGCATGGTAAATTTATTTTTATGTTCATGTTAGATTGTAGGCTCAGGTATCTAAATCTTGAAAGGTTTCTTTTTTTTAAATTTTTTTTCTGTATTTTAGGGAAGAGCCTACAGTGTGTTCAGGGTCTCACTACTAGATTGGACTCATAATAATTCTCCTGTTTACAGCCTCCCAAGAGCTGGGATTACAGGCGTGCGCTACCACACCCAGTCTCAATCACCATCTCAGCACGCCCCGGGGATGGGTCCAGCACGGCAGACCCTGGGATTGAACCCCTGGCCCCTGCACCTGCCTGCAGGCACTTTAATCCACTGAGCTATTTGACCAGCCCTTAAGATTTCATTTATATTTCAAATGATAGTGCCATAATTGGTCCACTTAATAAAGGCAGTTCTCAGATTTCTGCTTTTTTAACACATTAATTTATTATTTAGTTTCATACAATATCTTAAAGGAAATTATTATATGAAGACAATATTCACAGTGCTAAGTACTGTGAACTAAACATTTCTTCCTCATGAATGTCTCTATCTTGACTTTATACTGGCAAATTAGGAGGAACAATCTCTCCTGGCTTTCATTCTGCAGTGTACCCTACTCTGTGAGCTATTAGGAAATTGATTATCCTGTATTTTTGCATGAAAATAGGAACCAACACTGTACTGTTAGCAGAAAGGGAGCGGGACACATCCCCTAATGGCTTTAAGAATTGGGACTTCATGTCTGTTCACACCTGGGGAGAGAATCCTGTTGGCACCTGGACTTTGAGAATTGCAGATATGGTAAGTCTGAATGTGCTAGTGAAGGAAACACTCACTGCTAAACACTTGGGAGCACGTGTTAAGATTGAGTTCATCAAGACTGTAAAGAACTTGACCACTGATTCATACAAATAAGGAAAAGTGCAGTGTTTGAAGCCCTCCCCACTTGGATATATAGAAAATAATTTAAGAAGAATGGACACCAGGCATACTATAAGAGAGCAGAAAAGATATGCTGATGTCTTACTTTTCTTGTTGCTGAGACAAAATACACAACACCCAAAGTTAAAGTAGGAAAGGTCTATTGCAGCTCATAGTAGAGGTTTCAGTTTGTAAATGGCTGGCTCAGAGTTAGGATGGCATCGCAGAGGAGAAACAGTTCATGGCAGGGAGAAGGCACCAGAGCAGCAGAGTAGTGACGAGGCAGCAGGAAGCCCTTCCGCCCCCTCAGTCCCTTACATCCCATCCAGGCTGCCCGCACTCAGGATGGGCAGCGCTCACACCCCAAGGGGCACACCGTTGACTCTAGCACTGCACCATGGGTCAGCCTCAGCATCACTGTCTTGAACCCAGCATCACACACCCTAGGTCCAGTCACCTCCCAAAAGCCCCACCTATGACTGCATGAGGCTTTGGGGAGACATCTAGGTACAAGCCATACTGATTAATAAAGAATATGACAGCTTATGGGGCAAATCCAGGAGTTCCCACCTCTAAGTCCAACTAGCCACGTGATCTATGGCCACTAGAGTCAGCCATGATCATGAATATAGTCAAATGCCTTGCCATGACGGTTTGCTGGAGTCAACGAAAACATTCTTAGGATTATTCTGCAGTACCTATTGAGAAGTAGCTTCATCCTAAGCAAGATATCTTATGTATGGTTTTTCCCTTCTTCACTCATACAACAAACTGACTTTTTTTTTTCATTTTGTTCTTTCAAATTGATATGATATTCAAAAAGCTTTAGATTTTTGAGCATTTCAAATTTCAGATTTTTAGATGTACTATGTTCAACTAGTGAAGCCTATACAAATATTCAAAAATCTGAAAAGAAAATCAGCAATCTGAAATATTTCTGGTCTCTAGCATTTCATAAAAAGGATGCACAACTTGTACTAACACTATTTGACATCTTTCTGTAATTTTAACACATAATTACTGATATAAAAGGAAAGAGTAAGAGTGTATGGTAAGAAACCAAATATGGCTAAATTATTTATTTTGCATAATTTCTCCATTTTTCTATAGGTGAGAATATAAATGAATATTATCTCATCTGTGAGGTCTCCTGGAATAAACTGCAATAAGCATCAGTAGTTTAAATTTCCATCTGCAACATGTTTTTAGAAAAGAATTTACTTTAAATTTCTAAAAATATTGACCAATAAAAATTGTATAGCTATTGTTATTTGCTATCATTTAGAACAGCTTTCTGTTAAAGATTGTTAAGGTTCTGGTTTAGAAGTTAAAGTCTTAAAAGTTTCTATTCTCATAACAAAGGAAGATAATACTCTTCCTTCCAATAATAGTTGGTCCTATTCTGGAATTAGTCCTCAATTTTTTAGTGTAATTTCACCATTAGGAAACTAAGAAAATATGTTTACCAGAATGGGACTATTTTATATCATCTATAAATCTGTTTCTACACTTCTAGATTACTTTTAGATATTTTAGACTTCAAGTACAGTGAGATTTTTAAAACTATACCAATATGAAAAAGATTTATATGGAACACTCTGATTTTTGTAGCTAGATTCTTGATAATAAGCAATTAATCAGTTTTTAAATGATCAAAGCTATGCATTTTTATAGCAACCTTTATAGAACAGTGAATTTGATGTCTCTTTGGAAATAGAGCTCTGAACATGGAATGCATGGAAGGCTAAAATAAGATTTTAACTATAAAATCATTTTTTGCTACTTTGAATAAGTTTGCTTATATTCAAAATGTACACAATTTTTTTCACTAGTCTGGAAGAGTGAAAAATGAAGGGCGAATCGTGAACTGGAAGCTGATTTTGCACGGGACCTCCTCTCAGCCAGAGCACATGAAACAGCCTCGTGTGTACACCTCCTACAACACCGTGCAGAATGACAGAAGAGGGGTAGAGAAGATGGCGGATGCAGCAGAGGTCTGTGCAGCCCGTTCTGGGCATGTTCTCTTCTGCACTGCAGCAGGCAATGCAGGAGCCAAGCTGTGCACTTTGCACTCAGGCAGGGAATGGGCCAGACATGCGTAGGAGAATTTTACTTTATTTTTGGCTGCCTCAGGCTGCCTGAAGGGCTGGCCTGGTGATGCATGTGGTGCTGAGGATGGGGAACCACCATCCCCTGTGCCTGATTGGGTTTGCCCAAGTAGGCACTTTAAGCAACTAAGCTAACCAGCAAGCCCCCCCCCCAAGACATGCATAGGGATGAGAGAGAAGTCATGGTAAACTATTTATTTCCTTAGGAAACTTATTATTTCTTACCTAAAATTTATTATGAATTCTGCATAAATTTTCCAGTACGAGTTTTAAGCATTTATGACAGCAAATTATAAAATTGTCTTCATGCATGATCACATGTAGCCAACAATGGTATTGCCCTTAGTCTTCAAATGGCTTCCAGTCGCACCTTTTAATCTCTAATGCTTATAACCTAAAAAGGCTGGACCTTAGTATGTCCATTTTGCAAAAAGAAAATCAAGCCCCAGGTAGAAGGAGCACATCGGCTGCTTTTTACTATTCCTGTTTAGTCACTGATTCTCAGCCAACACATCCTGGCAGTGCCCAAGAGAGCAATGGAATCCCACATTCTCTCAGGCTAAAGGAAGTCATTGGCATTGCTGGCCTCAGCCTCCAGAAGCTGCTGGCATCTCCCTTATCAGCTGGTGGAAAGAAGCCCCATTGCCTGTATTTCAGTATCCCCTAATGTCTAGCAGAGTTCCTCAGCTATAGTAGGTAAATTTTCAGAGTATCTACAATGGCCTCCTTCAAATAGGTCCAGGTCAGTGCAGAACATGTTAGAAGGTATATAGACATAGTCTTTACTCAAGACATTTATAAACTAATTCTGTGAAGGTCTCAGCTTGGATTCTGGTCATAATCATAGTCTATTAAGTAGCTTCCCACCAGGATGTGAGATCCATAGGCCTCTTCTTTTCAGTCCCCAGAGCGGGGACTTGATAAGCACTTTTCCCTCTGCAATTCCTTAAAAGATATTAACAAGACTCTTTCATTGCTAAAACATTGAAATTTGGTTGGCCCTCTGTTATCTGCGAGTTCCACAACATCAGATTTAACCGATTACTGATTAAAAAAAAAATACTTGAAAAAATAATTGTGTCTGTACTGAACTACATAGAGTTGTTTTCCTTGTCTTTTATTCCCTAAATAACAGTCTAGTCACTCTTTACATGGCATTTACCCTTGAGCAGTTATTGTAGATAATCCAGAAGTGATCAACACATACAGAAGGATATACACAGGCTTTATGCAAATACTATGTCATTTTCTATAAAGCACCTAAGCAAATACACATTTTGGTCACTGCAGAAGATCCAGGGAACACATATACTTCTAGGGTGATTGAAAAAGAGCCACATGAATGATCTCTCCAGTTCCCTCTTCTCAGTCACACCACCAGTCTCTGGGCTCTCTCTTCTGATAACTGGATAACTTCAGACAGAGTGGGGGGCCTCTAGAGAGCTGATCTTACTCTGTATCAACTGGGTGGTGCCTCATACTTCACCCAGTTATTAAATATTGTCTTCTAAAGATTCTATCATAGCAAGGCAGCAAGTGAAGGAAACTAACACATCCTGAGCATGTACTGATTTCATGTTGAAAGTTCATTCTTGAAGATGACCAGACATGGGGGTGTTCTGATTCCTATTTTACTGAGTTAAATTCAGAGAGATAAACAAGGTTGCCAGGTATCCATCAGTAAATGGAAAAATGAGGCACCAAAACTTAGTCTGTGTGGCTCCAGCCCTTACACTGCTGCTGCTCCCCAAAGGCCTTGTCAAGGGAATGTGCAGTGGGCTTGTGCTAGGGCTGTAGCTTCCTTGCTTCACAGTCAGTAAAGAGCTTTCCCTCTTTGTTGGTGACATTCTGTGTTTTAGGAGCAGCCTACACAGCAGGACCTGAATGAGACCATCCTGGTATCTAACAGTCCTAGCAGCAGCAGCAGCAGCAGCAGCAGCAGCAGCAGCAGCAGCAGCAGCAGTGTGGGGGACAGATGGGAAGAGCAGACAGAGGGGACCCCTTCCGAGGCCATGCTGCGACTCCTGCAAAGTGCTTTCAGCAAAAGCTCACTTCCAAAGCAGTCACCAAAGAAGTCTCCAAGTGCGAAGCTCAACATCCCTTATGAAAATTTCTACAAAGCCCTGGAAAAGCTGAACAAACCTTCCCAGCTTAAAGAATCTGAGGACACTCTCTATCACGACTATGTGGATGTTTTCTATAACACAAAACCATATAAGCACAGAGACGACCGGCTGCTGCAAGCTCTGGTGAACATTCTGAAAGAGGAAAATTAAAGCAAGTGTGTGTTCCCAAGTTGGAAATATTTACGCATCTTCCTTCCCCCTTAGATTTCGCTTGTGTCTGAGTAGTTGTTTTGTTATTGATTCTATGCTTATAATATCCTTTGTGGGACTTTTCCTTTTTCTCCCCCAACTGTACATTTGAAGGGGATGAGCCCAAATAGGAAATCCAGCTTCCAGAATTGATCATAGTTCTTTCAAAATATGTCTTCCCTGCCTGTGCAAGTGAAGTGTTTTGCTCTTTCTGCAGTCGCAGTTAATTATAGCTCTGTCCCTCGCTAGGATGCCCCCATGGGCCTGCCTATGTCATTCCATGCAGGAAGGGGAATCCATGAGGGAACCCCTAATATGAAAAAAGTAATCTGAAAATATTTGGAATGTTCTCACCACGTAATTCTTTGAATTTTGATCCCAAGGAAGCATTTGCAAGGTATCTAATTAAAGAATTCACCATTAGGCCCATACCCTAGATACTAGGCCTTCCTATTGATCATCAGAGTGCAGACAGTCTTGTCATTTTGGAGAAAAAGCTGAATCTCTAGATCCAGAAGAGACCTTGAAATTTGCATCATTGAGTAAGAGGGACTCTAGAACATTCCTGTGTGCTTGGCATGCCACACAGGCCTCTGTGGTTCTACGGTGGCTGTGACGCATGCTGCATGTCCTGGTCTTCCTCTTATTCCCCTCTAGAGGTTTCCCCTGTCTCCTTTGCTACAAACTCAATATTGACAGAACTAATTCACACAGTTTTCTCAGTGTATTTGTCCTCATAATTTGTTTAATAGTAATGGATGACCATTGTAACATGAAGAATCAGTGTAATAACAGGAAAATATGTATAATGGAGAGAACCAGGGAGAGGTTTTGCTTATTTAAAGAAAAATCATGTCTTTAGAAGAGATTAGCTTGGATCTTTAAAACTGATTGCTCATTTCTAGATACTAAAGGAACTTCTCCCAACTTCTAGCTGACAATATCCAAGTTTTCACCAAACTGCTTCCATCCCTCAAGTCAGAAGACATAGACTGGCAGCCCATAGCCCTCATTTTTTTTCCTTGAAAACTTTATCTGGTATACAGAATGTTCTAAAATTATGGAATATTGCTGAAAATAGGGGGGTTTCTATAAAACAGGGTATTCAGACATCTATACCCATAGCAACAGCTGGTTAAAGCTGAGTAGCGACTGCCCAGTTGGATTTGAGATCTAGGTCCCTCTGGCCTGCCCTACACTACTCACGTGGGCCACGTTATTCCTTACTGGCCAACATCCAGCAGGCATTTGATTTTGCCCACCTTTATATTAAATATGTTCAAAGTGTAACATATAAGGAAGAAAAAAGTTCTCCATTTCCATCAGGCAAGCTCTACTATTAATTTAGAGGTTGCTATGATCTAATTAATTTGTTACATTTGCAGACAAAAAATAGTTGCTTTATGCCTTTTAGGAAGTATCTCTGAAATCCAGTTTGACATATTCATTCAACCCTACCTCACATGAGTATTCATTTCTCTGATTAATTAATTGCCAACCTCTTAGCCTCTCTTTCTCAACGTGCTCTCAAAGGCGGTTATCACAAGAGATGCCTGAATCACCCACTGAGCTACTCTTCCCAGATCTTCCACAAAGCCTGCACTTCCTAAGGCCACCCATGACATTGAAGTAATTCAGGAAGGCACTTCCTTTGCTCCGACTGGAAGCATACTCATCGGCTGCCTTGAATTTGGATGAAGCAAGGCTATTTCTACAGCACTGTCTAGAGGATGTTCTAAAAGACTGGCAGCCTTGCTTCCAAAAGTTTGGAAGCATGTTTTTTGAAATAAGGTGTATGGTAGGTATAAAACTAAAAAAAAAAAAAATTGAGTATTTTCAGACTCAGTTTCAATCACAAAAATAAATGCCTAAATAAATAAATTTTAGACAATGACTAGAGTCCCCAGTGAGTGGTGGCAAAAGTTAACACTCACCCTTTCCCCATTCATGGTCCAATGCTAAATGTATGCTATTTTCTTTTAATCATTCCTAATAGTATCTTTTCCTGATTAAAACACCACGCAACTCAATGGATAGTAGCCAAAGGCTCGATCTAGAGGAGCTTTAACTATTTAGAGAAAACTATGTTTGAATGTTTCCAACCTGGAGTATGTTGTAAAGACATAAAATATTTTTGTCAGTCTTTCTTAGTGCCTGTGTGGATTTTTGTGAAAATGTCAAAGAGGAAACTTATATATTTCCCTTGAAATTTTAAGCTATATTTTCTTTACAGGTATTTATAATGTACCAATGCTTTTAACAAACAGAATTTTAAGAGGCATAATAAATTATATTAAAGCACCAAAAGGTTTCCTGAGAATAAGAAAGTTTCATCAAATAAACTATTTTCAAAAAGCATGGCCCTCTGTCAATGAAACAAGCATAAAATGTATGTGTTGTAATATTAAGTGACATTTGTCTAATATCCTAATACCATGTATAACTGAGTTTGATATGTGTGGTCTTAGAATTCTTAAGGAAACTCACATTGCACTCTTGATGCACTTATTAACCAAAATATGTAAACTATGCTTATAAATCACAAGAATAAATGGTTTCTCACAAGGTCAAAAAGAAAAAATTCTCATGTCTCCAACAGAAATATGATTGTCCCCTCTTATTGTATTTCCCAAATGGACTACAAAAATGTTCAAAGTTCACACTAAAAACTTAATCCCTTTTGAGAAAATATGTTTTATAGTAGGCAAATTAAGCATCTACTTAAACAAGATATGTTCTGTTTTCCCTTCCTAGCCTAAACTTTTATTTTTTGACCACACACAAAGTTATATGACTGCTGTTACTGAGATGTGGAAAGAAAGAAAACCACTAAGCCAAGTGGACTCACTGCTTGTAGGAGACACGACTTGCAGCATTTCAGTAACTATGACTTGGTTTGGAGGTCAGAGGAAGGCACTGAAGCCTAAACCCCGCTCCCTCTACAAAGTGCCCAGTCCCCAGCATGGATCTCCTGTCCTTGTGCCTGCTTTTCTGCTCCCAAAGTCCATTCCTAGAAGTTCCACCCTTCACAGCAGAATTCGACCTTTCTACCCACAAAGAAAGATGTCTCCCCAGAATCTATCCTCTTCTCCTAAGATACAGTCAAGTATTCCGTTGAACTACAACAGTCTTTTAAGACTTTGAGAAAAATTGGTCTAAATGGATTCTGTCCTCCATATACAGATATTTTGAAAGCTTCACCTCAGATTGGGTTGAGGATACGCATATTTTCCACCCACTGATTTATTTATTAAAGTTATGAATCAGGAGTGGTGGTACATAATTGTAATCCCAGTGTGATCCTCGGATGCAGTAGCAGGAGGATTATAGACTGAGCATGGCCTGGGGAGCTTACTTAGTGAGACCCTGCCTCAAAATTTTAAAAAAAGTTAAAAAATGGGCTAGGGATGTAGTGCACTGTGAAAGCCCTGTATATTTTGCAATGGAAATTGAATCCGAATATATACATACGTAGAAAGAATATTGCCAGAAATCCTCCTTACATAACCCCTCTCATTTTCAAGATTCCTATCCCGTCGATCTTGCCACTCTCTGAAGCAGTTCTGGGTCCTTCATTGTATCTGTAGTTGCACTGTCCTGGCTGCCTCGAAGTCCTAAATTAATTCATAACATTTACCTTTCATGGTGACCCGACTTTGGGAAAGAGCCAAGAGTCACATGGAGGCGGATCTAGTGAAGGAAAGACTTCCTCATCCTTCACGAGGCTGCCTTTCCATTGGCTGGCACTTGATAGCAGCAATCATAATGCTTAATCACACCTCATACCTACATACGTGAATGAGGACTTCCAGAACTGCTTCAGAAAGTGGCAAGAATCATGGGCTGTGTGTGTTCAAAGCAGAAGGAACATTTTAAGTAAGATGAATGATAGTATTTTTACATAATAAATATTTTTCATTTAAATATCTGCTGAATGTTCTGCATGCCATATACATGGACAACACAATGTGTTGATATATGTACAGAAATAATGACTGTATGTTCAAGGCAACTAACTTATCCTCACCAGTGCGGTGGCACATGCTTGTAATCCCAGCACGTGGGAGGCTGAGGCAGGAGGACTGTCGTGAATTCAAGGCTAGCCTGTGCTTACAGCACAATCATGTCTCAAAAGAAAAATATCATCATTGTCCCTTTCACTCAGTTTCTCCCTCCTTCTTTATAATAAGCATTCCTACACTTTATCCTCTTATGCTAAACAATGTCTGCAGACGTCTAGACTTCTTCATTGTACATAATTGCAACTTAGTATGTCTTGAGCTGCATTTCTCCATTTTCTTTTTATTTTTGAACTATTCTCTCTTGGTTTTTCAAAATTTCTACAAACAAGTGAGATAGTGTAGAATTTTTCCTTTTGTGTCTGATCCTCCAATTTCATCTATGTTGCTACGAATAGCAACTTATAATTCTCTTTTTTTAAAGGCCAATTAATATCTCATTTCATATATTTACACTGAAGCCAGAGGACTCAAAGGTGCTAGTACAAATTGGCTTGGCTCTTGCTTTGCATTGGTCTAGTTCTAAGAGAAGAGTTGCTGCAGGAGCTACTTTCCCTCCAGCATGGTTTCCAGAGCAAATCTGGACGGAGTGGATCAAAACCGAATCAACATTCCATAACCAAGCCCTGCCCAGCCAACTCATGGCATAAAGCAGAGCTGTCCAGATGAGGCCAGGCTATCTAAACTGAACTTGTCGCTTGGGCCATCATGTAAATATGAGAATAAAGACTTGTTGTAAGCTATGGGGTCTTCTGATAGCAAAAGTAGATAAGAAAAGTTCCATTTGTTCATTCTATCACTAATATTACCCCTTTCAAACTGCCTGTTCTGGAACCAGAAGTTCCAGAATATTGTCTTGCTGTATGAGAATAAAACATGCCATGAGATCAAAGGAAGAGGAACAGACAGACCTAGGGTTGCACAGGATACAACTAAATGGGT